GAGCTGGAAGCAATCAGAGAGAAATCAGAACACCTTCCCAACACCGAGGATCTGGTATTTTCTGGGTTTGGACTTGTTTGGGGAGACTAGTGAAACCTGCTGAGACAAGTGCCCTGGATATTTACAGATCTCAAGGGCTGCTGTTCACTAGAAGAGTCTGAAGAATTACTTGGCCTTTAAAAGTTCATGTTAAGTCTTGTTAACCAGGAACCCCCAGGGTGTGTCCAGATATGCCACGGCCCTGGAATGTCATGGACACGGAAGACAGCTGAGGGTCACGGCCCAGGACCTGGAGTCTGCCAGCGTTACACTGCTGCGGTGATGTTACGGGAGCAAAAACGTGTGTAACATTATTTATCAGCTGGTCCTAAAGACTCTTCCAAATCAGAATTTCTTCCTGAGTATTTCTGCAGGACTAGGAATATAGTTTGGTGGCAGAACGCTTGCTTTACATGTACAAGTCCTGAGTGTGATTGCAGCCCCACAAAAAAAAAAAAAAAAAACAATAAAAAACAATAAAAAACCAAGCTAGAATGCTGCTGCTCCACATTTGAACTGCACATTTGTACTTTTTGGTAATGGAATCAACTGCAGAAGAGACAAAACTCAGGGTTAAAAATGTAGAGTTATCCAGGCATGGTGGTGCATGCATATGATCCCAGCATTCTAGGAAGCTGAGGTAGAAGGATTACAAATTCAAGCCTGGCCTCAGCAATTTAGCAAGACCCTGTTCAAAAAAAAAAAAAAAAAAATTAAAGAAAGGGCTAGGGATGCAGTTCAGTTGTGAAAGTCTTGGATTCAATCCCCAGTCCTGCCAAAAAAACCCCTAAAACCCAGAAATAGTGTGGAAAGTTCAGAATGATCTCTTAATATGTAAGGATAGGTATTAATTTTACCTAACAAGCGGTGGCCCTTCATTTGATCATGCATAATCTCAGGCTGTAAATTCTAAGAATATGATCTACAATCCCAGAGACAGAAAACAGACAAAAAATTTGTAGTTACAAAGTGGCAGAGAGAGGGCTTCTTCACATAGGGTGGTCACTGAAAGACTCTCTGAGGAGGTGACATTTATGCTGAGACCTGACAGGGCCTGCACCACGCAGAAAAAACCCAGGCAGACATGAGCAAATATAAAGGTTGGAAGGTGGGGGTTGGGAAGTATTGGGAAGTCAGATTAATCAAAATCTTGCAGAACTAGTGAACTGAACTGGAGTAGGAGATGGACAGACAGAGAGGAGAGGAGAGAAGGGGAGAAGGAGAGAGATGGTGAGAGAGAGAGACAGAGAGAGGGAGGGAGGAGTTCTTGTGGAGAAATGAACACAAAAGTTTCCACGACCACCTTCTGAATGTTAGACCCTATTGCAGGCAGCTTTTTTATTTGCTTGGTGTTTACCATTACTGTATCATTACCTATAAAATTTCTCAAAGCATACAAATGAAGACATCTTCAGTGAAGCTGTCTGTCCACAGTCAGAAAGCCAGGGAAGGGCCTAGCCCAGAGCCCACGCTCTCCTCTTCACACCTCTGCTCCTGGAACATAACTCATCCTACCCCAGCTTGGCTTCCTACCTCTCCCGCTCTGCTGTTCCACCCAAATCAGAAATTCCTGGGACATCTCTATAACTAGATTTAGTGTGAGTGATGACTTGGCGACAAACCTGCTCAGATGTTTCAGTGTTTCCTGATTCCTCTGGCCCCCAGCAGGAGCTGTGCTCCTGTGTCCATACTTTGACGGCACATTGGCCTCTCAGTTCTGGCCAGTGCCTGGCCCACAGACGGGAACCTGGTCAATGTTCACTCAATACCTGGATTCTGTTTAATGAGTCTTGCTCAGCTGCAAACCAGACACTTGTAGTGCGCCAGAGAAACCCAAGATTTACAGGGAAAGGGTTCCTCCAAGATACTAAATATGCCAACATCTGGCTCTACAATATCAAGCTTTATGTTATAGACTTATGATATTTATTCATTACTAATCTGATGCTCAATGTCACCAAAATGCCTGAGAAGCAAGCATTGTATTCAAGTGAACAACTTTTTGCTGTGTTCCTAATGGCACAGGAGTGATGGTAAACCTTTCAGAGCAGTCATGCCAAACCTTTTTGAGATGAGTGCCCAAACTGCAACTCAAAACCCATTTATTTATTACAAAGTGCCAACACTGCAATAAAACCCAAACACTGAGGTTTTAGTTTAGAAAAAGCAACTCAGACATTAACATCTTTTGTCTTAAAAGAAAAGCAACATGTGTGCTGTTAGTTCACCGCCACAGCATCAGAGCTGTCAATAACAACAGCTGGCTGCGGCACATGTGTCACAGGTTCCCCACACTGGTGTATGTCCAAATATAGTGGGGTGAAGAGAGAAACTGTCTGTGACCTAGGAGAAAAGACTGAATGAGTTAAGAGGAGAAAAGGAGGTCTTGCTGTTCCCAGTCACTTTATACCTGCAAGGTGGCTTCGTCTGCCAGGACAGAGCCTGAGTGCTGGCAGCAAATGTGGCTCACAAATGCGTCTCTCCCTGCCGCCCACCCTGGTTCTCGGAGCAGCACTGTGGCTGCCCAGCACTAATGGCCTTGGAATGTTTGCCAGTGCCCAGCAAAACGGCCTTGGCATCAAGGAGACAGATGTTTGTTAGAGAATGGCAGGGGCCCATGCCAGTGGCACACAGCAGCCCTCTGAATGCTGGGGGGAACGGCTGCAGCCATCAGTCTCCGTCAGTGCTAATCAATTTCACACCCTCTTCAACGCTGATAATAGATAATCGTGTGGGAAGCAGGCCAAATTTCTTAGCAGCTACACACAAGGTGCTCCCCAATGCACAAACCATTTACTTGGTCTCCTTTAAAATGTTGACACTTCACCTCAAAGCACCGGATGTGCCAATACTCCGTTCTGCCAGAGTGATGCCTTCTGGGGCAGCTGGCGAGGTGGATGTGTTCAGGGAAAGGACAGACTGGCTTACTTAAAAGTTACACAAGAATTCCAACAGAAGCCAGGAAAATCTACCACCACCAGCAGCAACTTCTACTTACCGAGCCACGTACTTTATATAATTCATACTTAATTTTCATAATAACTGGAAGGGAAGTGTTATTATTCCCATTTTACAGATTTCAGGAAAACCAAAGCTTAGACAAATCAATTTGGCTGTCCGAGAACTCAAAGATAGGAAATAGCAGCACTAGCTTAAACCCTGGCTTTCTGATTTCATGATTTCCACCAGGCCACTGGCCTCCAGTGAGAGGAGCATCTTTTCACTGTGCCTTTAATACATATTATAGTAAAAAACTGCAGAGACCAAAGGATGTTTACCTGAACATAAGAGAAAATACCAAGCTTAAGGGGATGTGAGAGCCCTTGGCCAAGGTTCCCTCAGGCACAGCAACAAGCCAGAGTTAACAACAACTTCAAGGTGCTGTCCGTCCCTCTCAGGCGCTGCTCCTGCTAACCCTCAAACTCTACTCCAGCAGCCTGCATCTCCTCAGGGCTGGTGCCAATGGTCTCCTGACTGACTCAGTTCTAATTACCATTCACACAAAGACAGGATATCTTACTCTGGCACTATGACAGTCACTTAGTGCCCCTCATGCACACATTATCCTATAGGAACAGGAAAGTTTAATCCAAGAACAAAACAAAGCAGGTGGGGAGTGTGGAATGAAACAGCTGCATGTGGAACACACTAGTATCTGAAGTCCAGCTCAGACTTAAGAGACTCTGCCTTTTATCTTGCATGGTACCACTGTATAAAAGAAGAAAGCCCCAGTCAATCAATTCAATCAATCAGCAAACATCTGAGCACTTACTAGGTTTAGAGATCACAGGGAAATCCCAAGAATGAAAAGCACAGTTACCATATACTGGTCTTCATAACTGAAGGTGTGCTTTGTGAAAGGGGAGGGCCAGGTAGGAAGTGGTGAAGAGAAACAGGACGCAGGAATAGGTTCATCTTCTTGCCAAGCTCTAGCATGGCTCCTGGGCCCGGGCCCGTAGTGTAGCTTGGAGGGAATGTGAGCGTCCTTCTCAAGGTGAAGGGCTCTGCATACGGCTGGGAGTGGAGTGTTAACATGAGCTCTCCTGCCAGTGAGGTTTAGAAGCCTCAAGTATATCCTATAGGCAAGAAGACTGAGAAGAGAATGGAGTGATCTGGTGGAGCAAGATCACAAGGAAAATGAAGTCTGCTACAGACTGTGAAAAAAAAGCAAGAAAGGATCACACTGTAATGTGACCACAGACTGAAGAGAGTCTTGCATTGGACAGAATACAAATTGGACATTAAACAGCAGACATGGATAGTCACCCTGGCTAAGGAGTCCAATGAGTAAGGTACAGAGGTCAGAGATAGCACAGAACTTAATGGAAGAGGTCAGAAATAGAGAAGGTAGGATATGACCATAAAAAGCCCAGCCCCTTAAGGAGATCTAGCAGGGCACCCTTGCATTAGCAAATGTCAGCTTCAAGAAATGTGGTCAGCTACGCCGATACTGGGGCTCTGCTTGGCTGAAACACACCGGGGTCGTCTTCTCTAGGCCTCTAGCTTTCCACCTGTGTATGAGGCAACTGGTCTCTTAGACTCCTTTTGGCTCTTCTATTCCAGACTAACCTTCTTTAGAAGACTTCTTTTGGGATTACAGCAGCTGGCAAGCATGGGAACCAAGACATCTCTGCTAAACTGGCACTGAGACACAGCATTGCACCTGGACCAGACCTTCTGAATGAAGTTCTTATGTAAGGAACTGGTACTATCCTCTCAGATCCTCAGCACAGACCTGCCTCAGCCCACACATCCATTCTCCTAAAAAGTGTCACTCCATTGATAGGGAGGTGGGGGAGTGGGGTGGGCTTTACACATATTGACAGAATATAATCTACCTTGCCTTTACCACATGGTAGGAGGCACATGGCCTTAGCTATCCTGTAGATAGAGAGAAGATACACAAGGGGCGCAAATGGGGGTGAACCGACAGTTGTTAGAAGATAGGCAGGAATACATACATGTTTTTCCCCTTCGATCTTCTTGTCGGCCACCTGCACTGCACCCAGATATTTAAAATGCAATTCCATTAGTCTGTCAACCTGAAAAAGAGTGATTTCAGACGTGAGTGAGCGGAAGAGGACAAGAAGGCAAAGGACAGTGGTGCTCCTTCTCACCACACTGCTGCTGCTTATAGAGACTACACTACCAATTCTGATGGGAGGGATGTTCTGCTTAGGGACACGTCAGCAATAGAGCAGGGAGCTGGGGTGGAATATGGCGAACACTCTGGATGGATGCAGCTGGAACACAGGCCTGCTCTCCAGTGGAGACTAGGTATGCCCACTCTTCCCAGGAATTCAAATTGTTAACAACAAATACATAAATAAATCAGAATTCAAGTCCCTTCTCGCATAGAGAAGGTGCTTGAAGTTATACACTTGATATTCACTTAGAACTTTATAGAAATTTCTCTTTTCCAACTGAAGCCTTTCATGTTCAGATTTTGCCCCAGAGCTGATCTTTTTTTAAAAAATGCTTGAGTAAAATCTTTTTACTTGCTTTTGAGTCAGAAGAGAGTGCAAGAAAAACCCCTTTAGCAACTTGAAAAAAGGCCGACTTTTCCACAGTAGTAAGTTAAAAATCAGTTTGAGGTTTAGCAAAGTCATGCTTCAAACTGGGCCTGAGAAACACTGTGGATCTGGAACTTTCATTTTCCCCTAAGACTTTCAAAGGCCTCGTGAGTGCAAACTGCTGATCTAATTTTATTGGGCTAGCACTGCCATGGCTCTTGGCAACCTTGGTATTTATTTGCCCAGGAGCTGATGTTGGTTAATTGGAAACGTTGCTGTAGCATGGCCCTTAAATAGCCCAGAAAGACTGTGTTAACAATGACGATGCAAGGATTTTATACATTTCAGGTTACAAAGTATTTCCACATCCATTATCTCCTTAAGCAGTAAACAAAACACCCCGAGAAAGTATCAGAGAAGCTTGATGCAACCTCAGTTTAAAGGTGAGAAAAGTGGAACACAGGTATTAAATGATATCACCATGCATATGACTGTGAAGATGCCTGTATTTCAGCCTGATAGTTTTCTGCCACACTGCTAGTGAAGGCAGTAAAAATAGTCAAAGGTGGGCACAAGCAGATAGTTGTAGACCTCCCTCCAAACACAGAATGGCTTCACCTCTACCTTGGACACAAGCAGGAAAGCAGTGATTATAGGCAAGAAAGGGGATTTTGATCCTTCATTTTAGTCACCTGAAATCGCCTACTTATGTACAGTACAATAAAATATACAGGCTTTGTGCACTAGGCAGCCTGGGTTCAAATCCCAGCTCTGTTGTGATTAGTGGCACGATCTTGGGCAAGTCACAGGATATCTCTAAATTTGTATTTCCGTATCTGTAAATGTGAGTGATGCCTATACATGGATAAGCCACAGTGCTAGAAGATTATATGCAGCAATGAAAGGCAGCTGCTGTATTACACTCCACAGCAGTCACTCAGTAAGTGGCAGCTTCTGTTAGTGTTGAAATCTTTTGGCTTGGCATGCAAGATAACAATATAAAATACCCATCCAATCTCATTTAGGAATCAGTAGCAGCTTCTACAGCCCACCTAGGCAGGCTCTGTTTCCTCTTTGTTACCTTATTTTCATCACCATTATCTAGTAAGACCTCACTAATTCACCTCCCACAGACTCTTCAAGACGGGTACCAAGGTCTCCATTTTAAAGTCAGGGCAGGTGAGGCTCCGAGTGGTACACACACTGAAGCAGTAAAAGCACGTTGAAATCCAGGTGTCTGACTCCAAAGCCTATGCTCTAATTGCTGCTACACTGTGCATCCCATCTCACCCACAATCCTATTATAATTCACTTTTTGTGGGTCTAAAAATCCCCCGAATATGCCCACTGTTAGCACTTTCAGGCATTACTCTTACTCCTGGAGAGTTCTCTGGGATAGGAGAGATAGCACACCAGTAGAACCTTTGGAGAAGCTAAAGATATTTTGGGGCAGGAACAGACCCCAGTATCCTTAGAGTATATCAGATAAGAAGTCCCGCTATTCCTCCCGGTCCTGGTCCCATCCTCCCAGGCCCACTGTCACTCACCTTCTCACTGTCATTTTCAGTGAACTTATTGAGAAGCCGGGTTCGCTGCTGCCCTCTCAGGTTGCGCAGGAGGGAAGCCAGGATCGAACAGACATGCTCTGGGTTGGGAAGGAGAAACGAGAACATGCCGAGATCAGAGCAGTAATTATTATCTCTCTCCAAGCCCCGACTGGTTCTATTGAAGGAGGAATAAGTAGGCCTTCTCTGACTGCTGCTATTGATTATTAAGACAAGAACCTCAAGTGTCACTGGAAAACTGAACTGATTTCATACACTGCACAAGACACACAGTCAAAAGGGACGACATCCTCAAGAATAGCTCAAACCAGCAAGTCAAAACTAAAATGAGAATTTCTATCCTGTCTAGAGTTAATTTTTACTGTCCACAACAGAACCTCAAACTAATCTTCCACTTGCAGAAATAACTCGTGAACAGAACACGAATACCAGCTGTGACATAAGCAAATAATCAAGAAATGTTCTGGGCCAGGGATATAGCTCAGTTATGCAGCACCTGCCTGTCAAGCGTGAGGTCCTGAGTTTGATTCTTGGTACCCATGGAAAGATTTTTGACCTGGCATGGTGGTGCATGCCTGTAATCCCAGCACTTAGGAGGAGGCTGAGGCAGGTGGATTGTTGCAAGTCCTGGTACCAAAAAACAAAACAAAACAAAACCCCAGCCCATAGTGAGTTCAGGTCCAGCCTGAACTAAAAAAACAAACAAACAAACAAACAAAAGAAATGTTCCATCGAAATCTCAAATTACCTTATACTGTCCCAAATAAATACCCTGGAATTAAACCAGAAGTCTGATAGGGTCCCAGCACTACCACTAGGATGATTCTGGGGCAGCTAAAACTGCCACTGTGTGTTAAAAGTAGCTGGACTGCAAGTACTTCGGACCAGCACAGGGTTTCCTGAGTGCCCCTAACCCAGTAACTTCTATCATGAAACTCTACTCTTCTGCCCTTGGTAAAGAGGGCAACTGAAGGTGATATTATAGCCTCAGCTGTAAAGAGATGCTTTTCTTTTAAAAAAAATTCTTCAATAATGACCTTGAAAAGGAGTCCATGCATAGAGAAAACAGCAAAGTTTATCTTGAAATACTGTAGATTCTATTTGAAAACAGAAGAGCATCTTCATACGCAAAGTTACTCTGCCATAGCCACTTGACTATTAAGTCAGGCCATAAGCAAACATTCTTACACCTTTGACTACAGCACAGATACCATTTTCGACTTGTGGCTTTTCCTTACAGGAAGCATTCCCTACCTCACTTCCCCAGCCCTATTCAATCCTTAGCCATCTATCTTGTACCAATATTCACTTCCTAGCCATCGCATCTTGTTCCATGGTCTTGAAACCCATGTACATGCTGAGACTCACAAACTTGGGCCTGCGGGTCAGCACTGTCCCCTGAAGCCTGCCCTGCACTGTCTACCTGCTCTTTCCACTCAGCCGTCTTACAGGTCTTTTCCACCTAATGCATCTAAATGTGAACTGCTCTTCCTCCCCAAACCTCCTCCCAGCAATCTCTTCCACCTAGCTCATGATAACCAGGCTCTTTAGTTTCACAAGCTCCCAGAACAAGTGATGCCCTTTATAAAGAAGCCTAGGAAGCTTTGCTTTCAGATTATAACTGACACCTGGCTCTTTCACCATCACAGGTATTCCTCTGATCCACAGTGCCCTCCTCCCTTGCTCAGAATGTTCAACAGAAGCGAGTCTCTGCTTCCACCCTCATTCCTCTTGGTCTAATCTCCATAGAGCAGCCAGAATGATCCTTTAGGTTAAAAAATTAAAGTCAACTCTGTTTAAAACTTTCTGATGGCTCCCTGACTCTCTCCAAATAAATGTTGCTTCTGATGTCCTGCCTTAGGCCCTCCACACTTCATGTTTCTTTGCCTGAAATGTTCTGTACCAGTTATTTGTACAACTTCCTCTTCACATTGAGTTTTACTGAACTGTCAACCTCTCACCAAGGTTGTCCTTTGATAACCCTCTTTTAAAATGCAATGGCTCTTGCAGGCATCGTGGCACACACGTGTAATCCTAGCACTATGGAGAGTAAGGCAGGAGGATCCAGTTCTTTTTTTTTTTTTTTTTTTTTTTATCGGTACCAGGGATCGAACTCAGGACCGCCTGCTTGCAAGGCAGGTGCTTATGCCGCTGAGCTAAATCCCCAGCCCGAGGATCCAGTTCTTATCTCTTTATCATGCATTACCTTTTTTAAAAAATTTTTTTACTATGTATTACCTTCTCAAATAGTTTATTTTTATTTTGTTTACCATCGTCCTTCAATTACAATGTAAGTTTCACTAAGGCAGGGATTTGAGTCTGCTTCATTCATGGCTACATTCCCATATTCATAACTATGTTGGCCAAGCCACGCCTTCCCGTGAGCCAGCGTCCGCCATGGGGAGGGAGAAGAGACTCAGCAAGAAGCTGAAGTATGCCTTCCTGTGAGCAGGCTGCAAAACCAGAAGCGCATCTACACACACACACACACACACACACACACACGCACACACCCACCCCACAGGCTGGAAAGCCAGAAGAACACTTCCATCCCCCACACAGAAGCAACTGACTGATTCAGAGGAACTCAGGGTGAGATGATAGCAACTGAGATGAAAGGAACAGCCCGATGCTTGTGTTATTTGATTGACTTCGCAGGCCTGGGGTTGGTGGTCTGGGCATCTATTTGGAGGATGGCAGTGCATATTGTGGGGCATTTCCTTTGGTTTGGTTTTTGAAATTCAATGTTCTGTTCTATTTTACTATTTTGTTTTATTCCTGAATCTGGTAATCTGAGCAACTATTCTAAAGATAACAATATGCAGTATAATAATCATTGTTAAATTCACATCATTTTGTTTTGAAAACCTATATAGCTATTGTTTTTGTTGTTTTTTTATGTTTGTTTGCGTCTTGATTTTTCTTTTTTCTCTTTAAAATAAAAAAATTAAAAACTACATTTCTGGCACATTCTACGTTTCTGGAAACACTTGCTGAATGAGTGGGAAGAAAGCAGATTCTCTAATATAAAATTTTAGTGATGTGATGGGGCATAAACAACCACTCTCAACCTCTGTGTATCTTTCAAATGCCTTACACACTTCTGTACATGCAGTACTGCCTATTCCCAATTCAGAGAAATATCACCCTTACGCTGATAATATGGTTTCAAATCTTTTACTTACAAAATGGTCTTTAAATGGTATTCACATTTGACAGTAACTGGATAGTTTTTTTCTCCTTCTCTATGGGGTCATCTGCTTCAAGAAAAATATTTCTAATTCTTTAGGTATAAAAACAAAATTTTCTGAAAATATGCTGTGCTCAGAGGTATTATGTATCTTTTGAGACTCCAGGTCATCCCCAGTAGCTTTCTTTTGGCTGTGTGTCAAGTTGAGGTTGCGGTGCAATTTCATCTGCTATGATCAGTGGAGTAGGGGACAGAATGGACCCTGCCCTGTTAGGAAGGCAGGGAACACTGCGAATCCAGGGCAGAAACAGTCAGTCGTGAGGACTCAGCTCAGGGTGAGAAGGGAATTCAAGAGGGAGACATCCGGAGGTGGTCAGGGAAAAGCCCTCCGCTCTCTGTGTGCACCAGGAAGAGAAGACTGGAGGTGGTGTAATCAGCTCTGCAATCCTGCGCCAAGCAAGCTGGATGTGCTCTGATCCCTTCAGCTGGTGAACAGGTGCAGGACAGGCCATAATGAAGGCAGTAAATTCTAACAAGCTCAATTCTGAAACTTTGAAGTTACTTAGCAAGACAGCTGGTAGCAACCTCTCTCTATATATGTATGACAATATAACAGCCACAGAGGGAGAAAAAATAATCAGAGCTAGAGTTCTCTTAGATTATCTGAGCCACATCTCTCATTGCATGGATGTAAACATCAAAGTCCTGAGCAAAGTGACTTGTCCACACAGCTAACTGGTGGGTAGCACCCCACTTCAGATTACAGACTCAGTCTCTCACCGCCAGTTACCTCTGTGTCTGGCAAGAGCAGGGTCCTCAGGGCCCCAAACAACGCAGTACCCTGACCCGAAGGAGCTCCCTATGTAGTAGAGAAAACAAAATAATACAATGCAGTGTGACAAGTTCCATTACTGAGATAGGCCTAAGGGAGTCTGGGAATGAAGGGGACGGACATTCATCCTAGGAGGGCTCCCACTGAAGGAAACAAAACAATTGAAATCTTAAAAGCAAAAAGAAGGGTCAGAGCTAATAACCAGATGAAAACATTCTAGGCAGAAGGAATAATATAAAGAGTGATCAAGAAATACAGTGAATGCTTAAATTAACAGAAATTGAAGTGAGGGGGGCATTTTGAGTAATCTGAAGGGGATTAATGGCAGTTTATCTTTTACAGTAATAAAATTTGTAACAAACATTAAGGATATGTTTTAATCATAAAACATTAATGGTAATTTCTAGCAATTAAAACTATATGGCTGTCCTCATCCACTTTTTTCACTGGCTCTGGTACTATGTGATTTCTGGCTCTTCCCTAAAGTCAAAATGACCAGGAAAGATAAACATTTTGAATTGCTTTAGGACCCTGAAGCAGCGATGAAGTACAGCTACAGGTAGTTATAAAAGGCCTTCTGGAGCTGCATTAGCAAGTGGCAAGAAGGATGAGGCAGGTGTGTTTGAAGTGAGGAGTATTTTGAGGGGAATTAATGGAAATGTCTTATTGTAATAATTTGTTAAAAATTTAAACATTTACCACATTTTTAAGTCACAGCTGCATATAGAAAGGCCATTCGCTGGAGGGTTGTGGACATGTGGTAAAGGGAAAGCCAGCAGATGGACAAGGTCTAGGCCATGAGGAAAAAGGGATATGGACTCAGCAGTGCGATTTAAGCTGGGCTGAGGACAGACAAAATCAGATCTAGGGTTAGACCAATTTCCTATCGGCTACACTCCTGTCAGTGAGCAGCCTCAGGAAAATGTTTCTCCTTCCTGATGCATTCTGTACTCCCTTAAAAGATTCCCCTTTAACTTGGTTATCAGGAGGACCAAAGATGGATTTATGCCCAACCACAGGAAGCAATTTCTTTTACTGCTTTATTACTGGTCCCCTAT